GCTTAAGCAGTGTATTTCTAAAAGCAGATGCAAAGTTAAAAACAGGATCTAAATATACAAAGAATTAAGAAACCACATCTGGTATTTGTCAAGAAAGAAATGCTTTTCACATTTTGAAAAGTATGTTCCTCAAAGTACTAGATTTTTCCCATTTGTATTCCTATCAGTGTAACACAATACATATGGAATAGAATGTACAAAATCAGGCTTATTTTAAAGTTCAGTTCTGTTAAGGTTCTTGTTGGTAATTTAGAATAAAAAGGTTATGAATACTCTTGGACTCATTCTAAAATTCACCTGCAGTGATTTGTTAGACTCCTGTTGAATAAGGAAATGCCTCCACAGTAAACCCTCCACTCAGCCTTTATTTGATTTTCCTTTTGCCACTTCAAATGAAAGTGGTGGCAGATGTCAGCGTCTGGATTGGCTGCAGTAGCTTATTTGCAGGATTTGTGGGCCGGAGTGTTGTAATTTTAGATAGATGCCATAATTGGGCCCCATTATCCTAATCTCATTTAATTGCCAGTTGGTGAAAGGCTTAGTGCAGTAACTGCCTGCTTTTGGTTGGGACTGCCCTGCAGAGGAGGTGCAGAGAAGGGCTTGGAAGGTCATGGTTGTGACTGCACAACATCCCCTGGCCATAGTAACTGGGGGGTAGGGACCACAAGAAGTGGGTTTGTCTTGTAAGGTGGGTGCGACCAACACGTGATAGAGCTCTGAGATCTGAAATCCCATATCCTCAGTCTCCTCAAGCATGTCCTGCATGCGCTGCTGCCTTTGAAGAGCAGGAAACCTATCATTTTACTGTTCCCTGCAGTTATTTGGGAGGGTTGGGGAAAGTGATTAACAGGCTGCAAGGGTGTAAAACACAGAGATGACCCTCCTCCAGTATTATGACTAGGTAAAACCCCAATATTATGTGTCATTGGGCTGTCAGCTCCTTCTGATTGTTTTGTATTCACCACAGGACAAGGAATATTTTCAGCAGTATGCCAAACAGCAGCTACTCCAAGGTGGCAGAGTGAGGACTTTCATGTGACTACCACTATGGTCACAGCCACAATATTCCTGTGTTAAACTCCCAGTCTCTAGTGATGGGTGGGCTGGTCAGTGCTGGAACCTTTACCCCCTAGAGGCTAGATGTGGCCCTTGCCAGAAGTTGATGGGATATAGGCAAATACCAGCCCCTTCTGGTCTGCCAGGGAGGGGTTTGGAGCGTGTACTTACTTCAACCTCAGTTTCTTGGAAGCTCAGCAGTGCCTGTGCTTGCTCTGAGCACTCCGATGGGTGCATCCTGCCTGCTGGGCCATTTCTGCCTTGTCTGGGCTACCAGCATTGTGGGAACAGGACTGGTCCGACTAGAAATGCCTATGGATACCTGGGATAGAAATGGTTGTCAGCAGTTGTCACTTGTGACTCAGAGGAGAGGCACTTTTTCCCTTTAGGCACAGATTCCTGGACACACCGGAATTCCTTGTTCTTGCTCCTGGTGCCCTCTTAGGTTTGTTCAGACTACTGTGTAACCAAATCCTAAATGTGCTAAAAGCCTGTGCAGAAAAAAGGGGCAGAGCAGAAGGGATGGAAGAAGCCAGGTCTTTCTCCATGATGTGTACCCCACAGGCAGCACAGGGCACCCATGTCTTCCTCTGGCTGCCACTCTGAGAATATGGAAATGTGGGCTTTCCATAGAAATATTTATATTTTAATATAAATAATATATACATTATATATTATGTATAATATATATAGAATACATTCAAATATATTATAAATAATATTTTAATGTGTTGAAAGTCAGGTTGGACAGGGCTTTGGAGGAACCTGCTCTAGTAGAAAGTGTCCCTGCCTGTGGCAGAGAGTTGGAACTGGATGAGCTTTGACATTCCTTCCAACACAAACCATTCAGTGATTCCATTCTAAAATTCTTATACTTACACAGTATTACTGTGAAGACATGACACCATCACCTTTGCATTATGTCACAGCTCAAAAAGAGGTATTTTTCTTCTACTGTTGAGACATTTGATATTGTTACTACAGTCACGGGTAGTGTTATTACTGGTTTTGCCTCATGCTACAGGAGATGTTGCTTTTTGCATTCTTTGCTGGATGTTTTGTCATTTAATAAGTGGTTTGTAGCTGTGGGGAACTTGAATGACTGCAACCCAAAACATAAATTGCAAGGGAAAGATGATCTTTCACACCTTCCATACTAAAAGATGCAAACTGGGCTACTCCACATGAACCCTTTCCCTGCTGGTGCCTTCTCCTCTGCAGAGGCCCCTCTTCTCTCCGTCCATTCTCAGTGAACTGAGAAGAAAATCCACCCTGCATTTCCCATCTCCATTCTCCTCATGGCACATTTTCTCCCTCCATATGCAGGACATTCCTGGTTTATGCCTCCCTGCATGTTTCCATTTGGCTCCATGCTCCCCCTCCTCATGGTAGCGGAGACAGCCACCTCTCCCTTTGGTGGAGACTTTGGTTCCTTCAGGTGGAGCATCTTCCACTACTCACCTTCCTGGGCAGGCAAAGAGTGGGAGAGATTGCATGAGGAAAGACTTGGGTCACTCAGCTGCCTCCTCTTGTGTCCCTACTGGCTGGAGGCTTTCATTCCTTTTGCTGCCAATGCGTTTATACAAGCCCTTCTTATCCCTCACTAGTTTCAATGCTGGCTGAGCTTTGTCCTTCATTATCCATTCCTCCAAGGGGAACTGAGCCCGTTCCCACTTCCTGTAAAACTTCTTCACATCTGAGCTCAGGCAGGAGTTCCTCATTTGGCCAAGCCAGCTTGTGCCCACCTGTCTCAATACTGAGAATACCGGAATGTGTCCAGCTTGGTGAGGAACCTGAGCACATTCCATGTTAGCCAAGGTAAAAACCTCCATTTGGTTGAAAAAAGATCATCTTTATTCCCATCACATGAATCACATCATGTCCCACCCTTGCCCCTTCATGTATAAAATACTGGTAAAAAGGCTTTTTTTTCCAGAGGCAAGTTAATTTCCAATATCCTCTCATGAGAACAGTTCATCCAACAGCTGGGATACTTGGCCATGCCACACGAGTTCAGAAACAAAACAACTCTGTTGAGGGAAATGTGGTCTTTAGGGAGAAAGAAAACTACAGAGAGCCACAGCAGCAACATCTGTAAAGATATGAGGGTTTCAGCTCTGTCTCATTTCACGTTAGCAGGAATCCTGAGCCTACCTGTGCTCCTGCTGTACTGACAGAAGCACAGATGCCCTTGTACATCGTTTTGGACTTGACATGTAGTACAGATCTGTTGAAGTCATCAAATCCAGTTACCCAGCCAGTTCCTTCAAGCCCCACACTGCACCTCTAGACAGTGAATAGCAATGACACTGCTTACAAAGGAGAAATCAGCCTACACGAGTACATGGAGGCCCTAAAAGGGCAAAATAAACAGAACCATAGTAAAATGCCAACAGTTTCAAAACCAGGAAACAAAAAATCCAGTTCCAATTACTTTATGGCTCCTACTACAAGCCAAATATAGGAAACAAATTGGCTGAAGTCCCACCTTGGTAGAAGACAAATGCTGCTATGCCAGGTCACAACTACAAGAACTTGACACACCATCAGAGGACCATGAAGTTGTAAACTCAAGGTGGAATTGGACCAGTTTATGGGAACAAAAAGATTTGCCAGGGATCCCTTAAAAGGTGCCCAACTGATCTAAGAGAAGAGGATCTCTCAAGTGCACAGTATCTGAGTCTGTCAGATTTCAGATTTAAAATAAATGTAAGGTTGATTTAGATACAGGATTTAGATTAAAGATACAGCAAGACAGGTGATTTATCACTGCAGATTTCCTCTCCTTTTAATTCTCTCATCCCTCAAACAACTGTACTTGATCTGCTAACGTGTCTCCTTGGGAAGGCCTGGTGGACTGAGGAGCACAGAACACTTCAGGAGCACCAAGCACACTGAGAAGCAGAAAATGGACAACCAGAAGGCGTGCTGCACACTGGATATGTAACAAGCATCAAGGCTTTCTTCTGCTGAACCATTTGAGAGGATTATCTAGGCACTGACAGCAGCCTGGCCTTCACTTCTGTATCTGCAGGAGCCAGCCAGTGCTCTGAGCCCTGGCTCTTCTCCTGCCCTGCGTTCCAAGTATGAAGCTGACTGGCCTGTAACAGCAGATCAAACTGGGTTCTCTCATCTGGGCATAAAGCTGTACCACAGCACATAGGCCAGGCAGTACTTCAGTTATGCAGCTATAAAAAAGCTGCATAAACAGCTAAACCCTGCTTCACTTGCCCATATTAACCCAAATTCACTTTGTACAGTTATTAATACCATTTCTCCAGACTGCATAATAAAAGCAAAGCTCATTGCATCAAAGACAGAATGCAGAACTCGTAATCTGTTACCAAGTAAGAGACTCACAACCATTCCAGGCAGAAAAAACCCCAAGGAATTGCCATCATTACGCCACATCATCTGAATATGACCTTTCTGTGTTGGACATCTGGAAATGCACCAGATTTGTACACACATCAGAATGGGAATGTATCTGAAGGCTGATTGAAATGGATGATGCAAGCCATTCCAATGGAGCCCCCCCCCAGTCCACAGGGAAAGTGCCATATTTAAACAATGAGGCGTTTCAAAGCTGGCTGTCCTCACCTCTGTGAGATGATGTGTATGGGAATCTTTCACAGTAATTCTGCAGGTACAAAGGGTAACACAGAGAACACCCTTCACCAAGTGTGAGGGATGTTTTTAGCATCCCAAGGCACGTAACTTCAGGAAACTCTTTTGACACAGCTCATTTTAAGTGAATGGTCTGTTGCCCTGATCCCACTGTTACTCTGAACAGCACAGAGAGCCCATTCCAGCTCTATGAACATAAAAATCAGAAACCTCAATTTCAGCACAGTGAGGACTTGCCTGCTTCACAGACTCAAAAACTACCATCCACAGAGCACAAAACCCCAACCAACAGAAAGTGAATACAACTCACCAAAACATGATGTGCACTAGCATTAGAAATGTCTTAGAGGTTATATTTGGTACTAGGCACAGTGGGATGACACAGGCTTGATGTGCATCTAGCTGAAAGCAGGCAGTACAGCATTCAGCTTCCACTGGGAAGCTGCAGGGCATAAAAAGGTACCAAAACATACCTCAGAGGAGAAGCGTTTCAGCCTAAAACAGCAATACTTGTGCTGGTTAATACTGTATGTATAAACAAAAAAGTTAGCTGAGGTTATAACCGTGCTTTAAAACCCTTCCCCACAAATCCATCTCCCTGCAAGCAAAATGGTGAGTCTGCAGATGGGAATCCTTTACTTCCCATCTTTCCGCACACTGGCTCCCCAGGAGTGTGCTACAATTGGTGCAAATTCTCCTCAGGGGCATTCTTTCATGGCAAAATACAGTGATCAGGGTCCCTTCTAGCTAGTACAGGAAAGGCTCATTACATCTTATGCTCTGCCTTTGAATCCTCTTATCCCTACCTATCCCTATCCAAAGGACACTCCTACCTTGCAATACAGCTGGGTAAAGTTTTCACTGCTGCTTCCTACTTAACAGACTCTTAAACTTGCAGACAATGAGGTGAGAGCAGGAGGGGATGGGGTAATTTTTTATAGGGCCATTCTCAACTACAGTGTTCCCAGAGAAATTTGTTTCCCTGTGTGCTTCCTGCATGAGTGTGATTTGTGAACACTGGAGTTCACAGGAGGGGCTTATCCAAAGCAGCACTCAAAGGAAAGTACACTTTGGAGGACAGTCCATCTTGCTCCAAAAGACCATTGCCTCTGATAATACAGTTCAGTAGCTCATGTCAGATACTGCATGACGAGAAACATAATGACACAAGTCAGAATCATTCCCCCAATCATGAAGTATTTATCTTGGAAGGCTCGCTTCTCAATCAGCCTCATCACTGTGTTGGATAAGCCCAACATGTTGGCCACATCCAGGATCTTCTTATGAGTACCCTAAGAATAAAAAGACAGCAAAGAGAAAGAATTAACCTCATGGTCCAACACTTCTTATTCCACACAGCCCAGGAGTATTTCATCATGCGTGGCAAGTGATGAATTCTGATCAGTGGAACTTGCTCTTAGCCAGCAGTTCCTACAATCTAAGACCAGGACCCTGGAAATAGCTGAATGGTGAGACAGATTAATTCAGACACACAAATAGGAACGTGGTTAAAGATACACAACAATCTGTCCAGATGGAGACATCATGAAGAGTGTCTCAGAGAACGTGCACTCCCTACAGAGGCATTAAGAATTTTCCTGGTCCTTTTCCAGACACAGTCCAATAACAGCTTGAATTTTCTTCATCAGACAACCTTTCTTGTACAACTTCCCTCCTGCTGAAGCACAGTTCATACCAACAGGAGGTTGAAAAGTGGGTCTAGAAACTCGTAAGGCTAATGGTAGAGTGCAATGAAAAGGCATATAAAAGTGTAGTTAATGTGATTTCAAGAAATCTTTCCAGAGAAAAGCACTGAACAAAGGGTGCAGACAGGCCCACACCTCAGTTCTGTTTCACTGCTGAAGCAGTTGGTATTATTCAGAATGGGATGCCACCAGTTTCCACATCGTGAGCAGTAAGCACATGACAGGCAAACAGGACAGGAGGCAGCAAACACCCTTGTCATAAAATGGTAATGATAATGGACCTAGTGTCTCAGAATGCCTTCTGGGACCAAGTCTTTAACAGCACACCCTGCTTCAGAAAGCCTTAAGATTAGTTGTGTCTTCTCTGAGCAGGGGCAATAGCACAGATTCCCATCACAGCACTCTACTACCTTTAAATAAACCTCTGCCTTCTGTTCTCCCAGTCCACTGAATCTGTGCTTGCAGGAGACTAAAAAGGTGAAATTTGGCAATGGCTTTGAGTATAAACCTGCCTTAAGATCAGAAAAGCTCTTTGTGGACAGAATCCAACTATATTGGACATACATGCACAAACAGCTTCTCAATCCATAAAATACACAAACTTGCAGTACCAAGTGAGATAACCAGTTTCTTCTGTGGAAGGTCCTTTGCTGAAATCAGGTTATGTCTTTGTTAGTTAGACATAATCACTTTTTTCACCTCATTTCATACCCCTCACATCAAGCCCTGGATACTCTGCTTTCAAGTTCAGCACTTCTGTCTCTGCAGCAATGTTTCCATGCTAGTTCACAACGAAAGAAAAACTTGCTTGGAGAACAGAAACCAAATAGGAAGCTTTAAAACCAAAGCAAACAATAGGAAAGTGAAGACTTTTCAAGTCTTGGAGTCAGTGGAACTGTACAGCCAGAACAGTTAAAGTCTTGCAATAAGTTAGGAATACTTGGTTCATGCACACTTATATCCAATACCCAAGAAGTTACATGGAATAACAAGCTTCCAAATTAACCCATTGATCTTTGTGAGCTGTCTCCAGGCTGACTGCTTCTGCCAGATTTGTAAATGAGCAACAAAGTCTTTGGTATGTAAAAACAGCTAAGCTAAGGGGAAAAGGAATAAGAACAGCTATTTCCTCATCTGTGAGTGAGAAGATTAATACCTCTGAAAACATAAGGACCTGAGGCTTCTGAAAGAACAGAATTCACAGCATCCCATTCTTTAACACAAACAAAAAGCAAAAGGGAACAGAACATAACGTTAATCACTCCAGATAGTAAGTACCATGCAGGTGAAGATTGTTAGGCCATCCAGCCCCCAAAAGAGCTTAAAGATGTTCCTGCTAGGATCATAAAATGTAAAGATTTCAGGTTTAGTTTAAATGGAGTTTTAGCCTTCAAGCGTTCTCAGCTTGAAGCAGTGTAATGGAAGAAAGTCATGTATTTGTTTTACTTAAGTCATCACAAACACAGGAAAATGTGGGGTCTTTTTGGTAAAACAGGATGCCCCCACCTTTAATGTCACTCTCTGGTCCCTCAGGCCCTGAAGGATGTTGGTCCCACTGCCAATAAGATCATCCATGCCACGATGGGCATTCTGGAGGGATTCATTAAACTGTAATGTTTCGTCGATCGGTATGGTGGTGTCAGAGTCCTGTGGGGGAAATGCAGGGTCTTGGTTACCTTGCCTGCTCACACACACAGTCCACACATAGTTAGATCCACAAAAAGAACATGCAGAGACAAATGTGGCAAGAAAACCTTGACAGGACTTGAAGGATTATGTTTTAAACAGGTTTTCATACAGATACTAAATACATTTATATTTGAGTAGAAAAAGGTAAGAGGAGCCTATGGGAGGCAAGCCAAAAGGCAAAGTTGATCAGATGTGTTCAACTGCAATTAGTTCTCAAAGGCTAAAAAGATTAAAAGTGGAGAATTTCTTATAGACTGATCTGGGTAGGAAAGGGTATTACAAGAGAGAACATCAGAAGTAGCAGAAGGTGTTTAACGCGGAGTCATGTGATCCCTGCAAGTGAGAGACTTTGATTTAGTATCACATTTCTAAGTGACAAAAGGCCTGCAGAACACTCTAAGTTTACATCATGGTGCATACTTCTGAGGAGGGCAAAAAGACATTGACCTTGCTCCCTGAAGGTCTGATTTGCTCAGCAGCCAAGGCCTAGTCTTAAAAAAAACCCAGAAACCATTAAAAAGTAACATTTTTTCCCAGAAAAGATGCATTAGCTCAAATACGCATCTGGAAATGGAAATAACTGGATAAAACTGTAATCTGGATTGCACAAGAGAATGGAGGATGTGATCGCTTTTGTCTTTCAAAGGCCTCCAGTTTAATCTTCTCTGGACACCTTTCCATCCAGAGAATCAAGATAACAGCTCATCACTCCCACCCTGCTTTATGAACAGGAATCATGATATTGGTGAGAGGTAAGCACGGAACCACTGGCATACCTGCTCCCATGTACTCAGTACAAGAGCTACCAACATGCAGAATTCATATTTAGGCAAAAGATGGTTTATACCCTACATCTGACTGCTGGCTGGAGGTTACAAACACATAACTTCATCAAACTTGCTCTGAGGAGACTCTGGTGATTATTATAGAAGTTAATCCACTGTCAGATGTTGTACAGCCTCAAGGGGTGTGCTGCTGACTGTAAAAGAGTGAATAAAGGACAAGAGTTGTTAGCAGCCACAGGGTCAAAGTCAGTGGATGAAGGACCTGTGTCAGCACACACGTCTCTGATCAAATGTCAATGAAGCACTGAGGTTGAAACAAGTGTCTTGTCTTACATGAGCCTGCAGAGCAGGAGCACTTGGATTTGCAGCTGAGCAGCTGTTATTTCAGGTATGTATAAGACTTCAGATGAGCAAAGATTAGATTTCCTAAATGAGGAGCTTGTAGGGTTTCATCATACACCCCAAGGCAGCAAGAAAACTACCAAAGATTTGACCCTCCTCACAGGGAGACTCGATGGCATCACCTCTTTCATTTGCTGTTAGAGGTTTTCTCCAGAATGGTACAAGGGAAGGCCTTAAACATAAAGACTGTATTTCTCTTTGAATTAAGCAAATTGTTCAGAACACTGCTACAGCTTTCCAAAGATGTTCTGCATGTTACAGTGACTTACTCAGGATGCTTACACGCTCAGCTGTCATTTCTATTTAATAGGGTAGTGTATAAATAGAATACGTGTGAACTTGTAACCACAATAGATAGGCCAATAGCTGACAAATCAATCATCAGTTTCCTATTAAAGGGTCATTCTACTTTAAAAGTCACAATTTTATTATGAGTTGAAAGAAATACAAAATAATAATGGTTTGGGGTTTTTTCCTTTCATCTTGAGGCACCTTTCAACATCTAAAGGAGAAAAAAAAAAAAACAAATTGCCATTTATTTTGTATTTGCAGAGCTACTGCTCTTCAAAACTGTTCCACTTACATGTGTTTTATTTCTGGACAATTTTTTCCTGTAGGAAAATGTCTCCATATTTGCAGAGAAACAACACAGGGTTTTAAAACCAGATCAGGTTTCAGTGTTCCTTTCAAATCTTGTTTATAACTTCAAAATAGCCAACCTAAAGCTCAGGCTCATCTTTATGTCAGGCTATGAGAAGTGCACTGAACTTCCCAAATCTCAAGAACGTAAGACTGCTCTCCCTGATTCTTCCTTGCCCTAACAACACAGATAAGGAATGATAAGATAATGACAACACAGATAAGGAATGATGGGTTATATGCAATTAACAAGAAAGAAAAGAGAAAGAAAAAAAAAACACAAAAACCAAACCAAAGACTAGCTTTTGAGTCACAGTGAAATGAAAGCTGAAAGCAGACCTACACTATTTAAGCAAAGGAATTTGCACTGGGGAGCTTCCCAATGGAGGAACTAAGAATTAACAAGAACAGGTGGAAACACATCCCTGTTATTAAAAACTTTTAAATCATTTACAGATAAAAAGCAAGGGTTAGGTTTTTTTTCCAGCTGTGTGATTTGGACAAATAAAAGCTTGCTGACATCTACCGACAGCAGGGTGTATAACTCAGACAGTTTACAGATGTCAGGATTTGACAAAAGCATTGGCCACAAATCCAAATCAAAAGTGTAAGTACATTTGGTACCTAACTCATTTTCCCCTTTGCAACTACCAGATAAAGTCAGGCACTGGATAAAACAGGAGCAGCAGCTTCTGGAGTCTTGTACTACTGCCTCTGAATGGCTCAGGTGTCCCTCATGAGAGCTGTACTTTTTCAGCACATATTGTTATTCTTTTCTATCTTTATTCCACTTACATATCACAGCAGCATAAGAGTCACATCTATGTCTTGCCCAAAACTCCTCTGAAAGCCTAGAGCTTCTAGAACCCAGAGAGCTAAAGCAAAGACTATTTACATTCGTAGTGAATGTACGTGCAAGCAACTCCTCTCGCTGTCGCTCCTGCTGCTCCCGGATGTAACGGCGATGCTGGAAGTTCCTCAGAGCTGTCTGCAGGTGCTGAACATCATACTTGAGCTGGTCAACTCGGCTAGAAAAGATCAACAGCAGCGAGACATGCCCAGCGATAAAAATACCATTTTTTCCAGTGTTCTTAATAGGAATAACGGAGCATTATAAATTAACAGTGACAAATAATAAAGAATAATGGGTTCTACTTATCTAATAGGTAAAAGTCATTCAAGCTTAGGCCTGTATTCCAGGCTTAGATCTTCCGTGCCTCATTTTTCTACTGAACAGGTGATTATTTAACTGGGGGCTAAATGACACACTTGGACATCCTATCTCTTCAGGAGTTATATATATATATATTCCTCATTTAACACAGATCTGGAAAGACAGTAGGATTTGTAGGGTTTCTATTTCATGACCCCCTTTCCACAAAAGATGAAGCTTTCAGGTTTCATTAATTAGCTTCAAAGTCAGCAGGCAATACAGGAGACCTCTCCATTAGGCTAAAACAAATGACATCCAGAACTCTGTGGTCTCTACTTAAATTTTTGATTATATAAAGAAAGCCTAGATGACTATTTCAGATACTGACCTCTATAATACAGCTGACGTGAAATCCTCCCCTAGTATCAACAAAGACATATTAGGACCAAACATTAATAGCAGAGTCACAGAATAAAGTAGAACTGAAGGTCCTGAGCTCTTTGGTGCAACCTCCTGCTCAAACCAGTGCTCACTTTAGAAACCTCCTTATTTTAGTCACCAATGGGTAGGAAAGTGGTCCAGAGAAAACTATACCAACTGAAGTAATTCTACTCCTTACCTCCACAAATGCCATTAAAAGCAAATGCCATATAAAGAAGAAATTTAAGCATCCAAGTGATACGTTCTGATCATCTCAGAACAGAGCCATGAATCCAGCTCCATCACCAGTTTATGGTTAAACACAGGAAAGCGATTTTGCCCTCTGTACCTCAACTTTGCTAGCATAGAGCACAGAAATAAGCTACACAAAGTACAAAGTTTTCACTCGAATGAAAAGGCAAAGGGCTTCAATGAATGTAATTAAAATAACACCAAAGACTACATTATCATAGCAAAGGTGGTGAACTTACAGTTTAGCATTCTGTCGCTTATTGGGAGGTTCTTTGCTGGACAGGATTTCCAGACGTTCCAAGTTGCTGAAGATATTGTCTATTCTGGCCTGAATTTCATTTTCTACCACTGCAAGGGAATAAAAAAGCACTCAAACCAGGGTTTAAAACCTGACAGATGCAAATCCTTACTGGATAGGAAAAAATCATCAGTAACCAAGAAGTCCAGATACCATGAGAAGCCACTTCTTTACCACGATAATTTGAGACTCTTGCCTTTCTCTCCACCTTCTCCAAGGAAGGAGCTAGGAAACCCCCTGCTCTTTCGAGGTATCTGAGCCTCTTTCCCTGTCAGCTCCATGTATTAGGATTTAAAGATCCCACATTCTGCCCTTCATCCTCTCCCTGTTCCCTTGGATTGAATCGCTCACAGGAGCCAATAGCCAAAATGATTCTCACAACAATGGCAGTTTAATGGCAAACTGCTAACAGAGTGTTAATACACATCATCCATACCTACAGCAGGGGAGATTGACAGAGCATGGGAAGGCTTTAGGAACTGGTAGACTAGACAAAGAGCTCAGAAAGACCTGGCCAAAGCCCTTTCAAGGGAGAAAACAAGGCCACCATAATTGCCTCTGTAATCATCTATATTGCAATTGCTTGTTAACCTGTGTAGAAATAGCAAAGGGGCAATAGTACACAGTGCAAACTCACGTACTTTAATGAGGTGGGAAATGGATACAAGTGGGGCAAGAGTCATATGCTTTCAGTTACACTGCACAGCAAAACTCAGTACAAGCCACAACCCCCTTCTTACTTGACAACTGCATTTAACCATGTCCCAATCCAGCATTTCACAACCCAAGAGAATTGCACAGAAGGGCAAAAGACAGGAGCGCTATTAATCACCTGCCAGGTGGGTCTGAAGGTGAGTTGTAGGGCTGCAGGTACACACCCTCCAGAGCACGTCCAGGCTATCAGGAGGACATAGGCACTGTCATGCCTGTGCAGCCACAGGGAGAGTCCTGCAGGCTCAGACCTGCTGTAAATCACCACCAAATCCTACAGGCACCATTTGCTCTTATTGCATTTAGACTCGAGGTACTCAGAAAAGCATTATTAATTAACTGCCAGCTACTCCACAGTACCACAGGACTCCCCAGAGAATCCCATTCAGCAGAACCCAGAAAAGCAAAGAGCACCTACAATCCCTTTTCTTTGCCCTTTGACCTCACACCAACAGTAACTAGCTTACATATATAGACACAAATCAATCGAAGTGTCCCAATTCATCTCTCCATCATTCAGTACAGCTAAAGTTAACAGAAAAGCAATCAGGAGAGCAGAGAGACTATGATAGCTTTCGTTAGTCCAAACACTTGTATTGTTATCTTGGTCATCTCATGCATTTCTGAGCAAGAAGGGGTTGTTCACCCACAGCTGGAAAAGGAAAGCTGTAACAGAAAGTTTGATTTCCTGGCTTCTATTCCTGCTCTCCAGCCAAAAGATAATCCCTTTTCCTATAAATTCTGAAATGCTAATATCTAGAGCACATATCCATCCTTAAATATGTATCTAGAGAAACAGTATGTTCATTTATTGTCTGTATAAAATGGTACACAATCCTAGCAGTGTCCTTCCCCTGCAGAACTTCCTGATGAGGCCCATTAGCAATTACTCATACAGAAACTGGAGTTTCAAACACAGGTCCAAAATACACTTGCCAAAGTCCTGCCAGAAAATATCACAGTGTTTTATTACAGTCATTTTATTAGCACAGGCTTATAGTCCAAATTCACTGAAGCAATTTCAAACCTACTTGTTCTATGTATTTCTCATCAGCAGATGGAATTACAGGTTCTGATTCTGATGGAAAAACAATCATCCTGCTTAAATTCCTGCACTCCAAATCATGGCATCTTCCCCAGAAACTGGACCAAGCATCTTTTGGGAAAGACTGCCAATTAGTGGATGCTTGAGGAATAGTAAAATGACAAAACAGATACACAATCACGTTTCTCAGCATTCTGAGCTTCTACCAAACTGAATGTGCAGTTATGTCCACATCCATGTGCTATTAAACCTCCATGACTGCATCACTGCAGGGTTTTATAACCTGTTTATGTTGAAGGCCTCCACAGCAGACCCTGACAATGAGTTTCAACATCTAACAGCACCAAAAAGTCCCTGGCATTCCCATCTCAAGGCACTGCAGAAGCAGCCATAGTAAGCACTACCTGTCAATGAAGGACTTGGAACAGGAAGATGATCTGAAGTAAAGTCTTGCTCTGTCTTTTCTGCTCTGCCCTTCCCATAAAACATCACCTTATTGAAGTGAAACAGCAAAGTCATTCTAATGCATTTCCAACTGCTGATGTGTCTCACCTGCTGACCGCAACGACTGGAAAGCCCAATTTGTACATCCCATGATAAAGTGCACAGGTTAATGATGCAAGCTAAATCAAACCAGTACTGGAATGGGACTTGTCTCACCAACTACTTACAGTGCACTGACTCTTTGTCTGAAGTCTCCAGGCGCCCCATGTAAGACTGGACCTCATGGACTTGCCTTTCAAAAGACAAGGAGTAAATGAACAGAAGTCAGTTGAGAGCTATGAAATCAAATCATTTGTCAAAGCCTCAATATTCAGCTTCTTTTACTTGAAAGTACTTTTTTCAAACAGAAAAGGAATGAGCTACATTCAGTGCATCACTGAGCATAAAAACCCCAACCCCATTCTTCAGGATGGAGAAAGCTGTGTTCTCAATGTGCACCTACAAAATAAGCTTAAAACCAAAAACAGAGGTGAAAAGGCTTCACGTTCCCACCTCATTTGTAGCTCCCTTTCTGTATTTATAACCTGAACTGGGCCTCCCACACCTGGCACGCTAAAAGCCATCAATTCAACCCAATCCGCAATAACCGCAAAGTCAAGAGTTGAGGCTCGCAGCAGGACCGGTGAGTGCTGAGCCCAGCAGAGGCAAGATCTGACCCCGCTCCTCCCTCCCCTGATCACCTTTGTCTGTGACACGGCGTGGATTTTACCGGCACGGGGTCACACGTTTCCCAGAGCGGTTTAATTTGTGTCCATCAGACATCTCCAACCCCTGCTGCCGTAAGAATCCTACTAAATCAGCATGCCGTAACGTATGGATAGCTGATAACGCCTGTTTCTAGGGAATCACAGCGGGCTGGGTTGGAAGGGACATTAAAGCTCATCCAGCTCCAACCCCTGCCACGGGCAGGGACCCCTTCCATAGAGCAGCTTGCTCCAAGCCCCTGTGTCCAACCTGGCCTTGAACACTGCCAGGGATGGGGCAGCCACAGCTTCTCTGAGCACCCTGTGCCAGCGCCTCAGCACCCTCACAGGGAAGAGCTTGGGCCTGAGAGCTCACCAAGAGCCGCAGCGAGCGCCCTGGGCCGCAGGCCCCGCACCCCGTCCCCTTCCCCAGAGCCCCGATGCTCGGCGCTGCGGGCGGGCCGGGCCGGGCCGCGCTGCCCGCGGGCTCACGCACTTGTTGGTGTGCTGGTACAGCCCCTCCATGCCGCCGGGAGCCCCCCGCGCCGCGCCGCCGCTCCGCCGCTGCCCACGTCGCCGCCGTCCGCTTCCGGCCCCGCCGCCTCTTCCGCTTCCTCTTTCCCAGCTCCCTGCAAGGCGCCTGCGCCGCCGCCGGGGGGCGCTGCAGAACCGCGGTGGCGCCGCCGCCCGCCTGCGGGAGCGGGGTGGGGAGCGCCGGGGGCCGCGGGCGGCGCCGCCCGGGTTCGGGTCCGGGTTCGGGTCCGGGTCCGGGTCCCTGCCCCTGCTCCAGGAACCACCGGGGGACCCCCGGTGTCCCCTGCGGGCAGCCCCCACACCCGTGTCCGCACCCCCCTGAGCGCCCCCGCACCGCGCCCAGGCTCCGGGTGCCGGGGGGATGGTCCCGGTGGGGGTGTGAAGTGCACCCAAACAGAGAAGCTGTGGCTGCCCCATCCCTGGCAGTGCTCAAGGCCAGGTTGGACACAGGGGCTTGGAGCAAGCTGCTCCAGTGGAAGGGGTCCCTGCCCATAGCAGGGGTTGGAGCTGGGGGAGCTTTAAGGTCCCTTCCAACACAAACCAGGCTGGGATAGTATGAGAAAGAGCACTGGGAGCTTAAGGCAGACAGTTCGTGTCACGCTGTCCATCATCTGATGCCTTGAGATGGGAACAGTCTCCAAAGTGTTTTCTTCTGCTGCCGCTCGTTTACAGTTAAGGTTGTGTCAGTTAAGCATGCAGGCTGATCACGTAAGAGCAAGTCACTGAGCATCACACACATGTAAACGAGTGAAACAAATACGTATCTTTAATCAGTGAGAGGGTCTTGTTCTCATGTTGGTTGATGAGAAACTGAACATGAGCCAGCTTCAGTGTGCGCTTGCAGTCCAGAAAGGAACCGTATCCTGGGCTGCATCAAAAGGAGCGTGACCAGCAGGTCGAAGGAGGTGATCCTGCCCCTCTGCTCTGCTCTTGTGAGACCTCACCTGGAGCATTGTGTGCAGTTCTGGTGTCCTCAGCATAAAAAGGACATGGAACTGTTGGAACAAGTCCAGAGGAGGCCACGAGGATGATCAGGGGACTGGGGCAGCTCCTGTATGAAGACAGGCTGAGGAAGTTGGGGCTGTTCAGCCTGGAGAAGAGAAGGTGCTTTGAGATCTCAGTGCAGCCTTCCATTATCTGAAGGGGGCCTATAGGGATGCTGGAGAGGGACTCTTCATTAGGGACTGCAGTGACAGGACAAGGGGTAACGGGTTAAAACTGAAACGGGAAGTTTAGATTGGATCTAAGGAGGAAATTCTTTCCTGTTAGGGTGGTGAGGCACTGGAATGGGTTGCCCAAGAAGGTTGTGAATGCTCCATCCCTGGCAGTGTTCAAGGCCAGGTTGGACAGAGCCTTGGGTGCCATGGTTTAGTGTGAGGTGTCCCTGCCCATGGCAGGGGGGTTGGAACTGGATGATCTTAAGGTCCTTTCCAACCCTAACCATTCTCTGTTCTATGATTCTATGTACCCATCCTTTGATGGATTACGCTTCACCTGCCCTGCCCTGCCATGCAGCAAGCCAGGCCTCCAGCGAAAGATCATCCTCTGATGTCTAATAACTCAAGCCACAGAAATCACATCAGCCTAAGAATAAACAGCGCATCAGTAAGAAGCATTGCGTCAGTTAGCAGCAGGGACAAATCCATTCACTCCTTGTTCTTTGCTCTCCCTTATCTGAGCCATTAGACCCCATTTTCAAACACTTTCTGGAAACAGAGATGTTGAATGAAAATAGATGCCAGGATTTCTCTCCTGGCCAAGGCTTGAGGAAGTATCACAACAAGTTTGATGAAGCAGCAAGCACTGAGATACAAGAATGGATTCTGTTCCTTTGTAAAGACATTGGGGTTTGCCAGAAACAAGAGGAGCGGCTGTTGCTGTTAGACTTCAGGTCCTTCCAGGAGGAGTCCTTCAGCAAATTGGCTCATTTAGACACAACAGCCAGGAGCATGGAGGGGAAAAGAAAGGGTTTTGTTCAAGGAAAGCCTCTGTATTGTAAACAGGATAAAAGGGGATGGAGAGAGTCACTTATCAATGTCTGATGTGTCCCCAGGTCATTCCTGTGTAGCACCTACTGGAGAAAAGGATTTCACGTTCACCGCTCGCTTAGAAAGCCCAAGCCAACGGTGGGGATTTTCTCTATCAAACAATCTACAGACACCCTGTGCGTTCAAACCCCCACGGGTGCATTCCCCATCGCTCTCCTCTGGCTTGTAGTTTAAAGCCTTGCAGCACCAAAGGGAAAGCTGGGTCCTTGTAGGGTCTCCTTTGTTCTGCCTACACCTCCCTGCTTTCCCCTCACAGCCATGGGACTTTGTTCTCCCTCTTTAAAAACAGACTCTGATGCTCTCTTTAAAACCAGACCCTAATAATGGGTCTCTCCCTATTTCCCTAAGCACGGTCCCAACAGGTACAGAAACTCTTTCCCCCTCCTCCCTCCCTCCCTCCTTTATTTCGGGCACACAAAGTATTCCCAGCTCTCTGCATGCTTTCTTGGTTCTAATAACTCTGGCTTTAAAAACAAAGGAGTGCCGAACCCGAGGGCATGCCGCGGAGGCAAGACATTTAGATGGATGCTTGATGGAGACTCCTCACTTAGTCCAGCTGCAGGCCATGGCGCTGCGTGTCCCAGCTCTGACAGACTGCCTTTACACAAGCCAGACCTCACAGCACGCCTCTGAGGCTGTGGAAGTGGAGGCAAAGGGAAGGGGAGACATGACAAGAATGTTGAAGCCTCATCGATCACATATTTTGGGCTGCTGGGCGAGGTGCTGGACCAGGTCTTCCTGGGCAGGAAGCTTTTTAAAGACACATTGCACCTTCCTGCTCGCCTTCCCCAGTGTAGAGCATTTCTGCACTGCTATCATGGTTTGGTCAGTTTTGAGACTGATCTCTGGTCAGGAGAGTCACAGATGCTTGGAGCATCATTCCCTTCTTAATAAATGAGGCAGGTGAAGGGATACAGCAAGGGTGGGGAAGGTCAGGCTGATGGAAAAAGAAGTCTGGCAACACTTCACTAACCCCTCCCTCTAGGAAAATGATAGGAATAGGAATAGAAAAGAAACAGAAATCAGCCAGGGAGGAGATGCACTGCAGCATCCCCCAGCCTTAGGGAGCTTTGGGGCACAAATGGCTGGAGGTTTGGAGCATAGCCTGGGTGTATTTGCATCATGCTTTTCTTATTCCCTGGGTGACAGCTGCAGATGACTGCTGGAGGTGCAATACTGACCTCAATGGGGTTTTGGTGCATGCAGTACACTGGGTGTGTTTGGTACCTCCATGACTCCACTGCAGTATAATGTGTTATATTATCATAACAATGATTAAATCTGACTCAGTTCTCCATGCAGGACTGAGTTCCTGATGCCTTTGCCCTGCAAATCATGTCTCAGTTTGACCTTATCAATGACATTCAGAAGTCAGGAAGAGAAGAGCCTCCTCCAACAAAGCCAAGGATGCAGAAAGGCCAAGAAGTGACTTTGCCTTCCTCAGTCGATGAACAGATGAAATTACACTACCCCTGGTACAATGTACCACCTTGCTTCCAGCATCAGGACACCTTGTTAGGAGCTTTCTACTGAGATGGCATTCCCCTTTAATCCCACATCCCATTTCAATCTCTGCCTCAAAAGCTCTAGCTTTGGAAATCTGAATTTATCTGCTTGGCAGCCCTCTGATACATGAATGAATCAGTAGATGAATTCAGATTCATTTAGCCCTAAAGTGTATGCATAATTTAACACTTACAGAGGCAAATCTTAAAATATCTGGGCAAACCCATATGCTATTATCCTGGCTTTCCCAGGGTCACTTCCCTGACAGTCTCTCTGCAAGGTGTCGGGTTCAGAATTCCATCAGAATCAGACAAAATCATCCTCAGCTTTGGGCAGTCGGAGGCGTCGCTCTTTGGTGTGCTCCTCGCTTCCACTGAACGAACACCCATTTGCTAGGTCGAGTTTTGGCAAGCCAGCCCAGATGAGGACGTCATGAGTTTCATACGTCAATCCTGAGGTGCTTTTCCAAGTCAAATCCTGACATCAACCTGCCTCACGCTCACATTTTGGCAATATGGGGGACCTTAAAACACAAAAAAAACCAACAAACCCCCCAAAACGGGTAAAAATCACTGTAATCCGTGTTTCATCAACTGATTAATCCAGGCATAAAGAGATGGACGTGCTGGGCTTCTCACACGCTGGACTGCCCGCTCCAGGGGCTGGCTGTGCTGCTTGTTAAAACAGCCTGACACAAAGAGGCCCCAGGAGCTGCATGCATCCACAGGATAGATGTCTTCTTCTGTCAATCCAGCTGGAGACCCCCAAGAGGGAAAACTGGATTGTCCGTATGGGTGAGGGGAGGAATGTCATAGAGGAATGCTTCTAAAACCTTCTCCAGTAATCGGAGCAAAACCTTGCCAAGTCTTTTGCCATTAACAGAGGCCTGAATGCAGACTGAAAAGGTGCCGTTTGCCATTCAGGCCAGCCTGGTGCTTGCTTGGGCATTGCTCAAAATGAATGTAATTACAACAATGTGGTGCTTTCAGGCCATTTTCCATTCCCCATTTCCATTTTCTTGGGGGGGGGGGTGTCAATTGCCCATTGCCATTTCTATCACCATCACCAGGCAGTGATGCAGGCAGCTGGAGCTGCAGATGTCCCGTTGGAAGTCAGGTCATCCCATTGGTGTGGTGGCATTTACCCACTTGCCAGGATGTCTGCAGGGAGAGGGAAGGTGCCCCAGCAGGAGCTGTTGGACTGCTTATCCCATCACTGTGTTGGAGATCCTATCTCCAGTGATTAGCTGGGTCCTGCTGTACTGCTCTGTTCACTATCCCGAGCTTGCTGTCAATTTGCTGCTTCTATTTCACATTCAAAGAAGAGCTTGTTTTCCCTAAAGCTTATCTGCTTCTTTAGACCAGGCTGGATGGTCTCATTGCAAAACAATCTACCTCCAGCAGCCAGCCTTGCGCCTCTGTGTTACGATTCAGTCTTCCAGGTTCAGCTGCATTTGGCCATTGGTGCACTGGCAGCAGGGTTTTGTTTGCCCCAGTACAAAATTACATCAGCCAGTCCCCC